GGGAATCCATAAACAATCACTAATTACCCGAATTACTAACAATTCTATAAACCCAAGATCAAACCCATGACCCCAAGTATCCAATTTAGGGTTGTTTCCACCATAATTTCCAGATCAACACCCTTCCCCATCGATAATTACACATTAGATTACTTTTTACATATTAAAAAATGGTTTTGGGGAGAGAAAAGCTTACCTTTAGCCTCAAGAATGGTGGAAAACTATCAAGAATTGCCTGGGGTTCGTTCCTTAGCTATAAAAACCAAAAAGTGCAGAATAAAGATATTTTGGGGTTTATTTACGACTTTAAGTCACATCAGGCCCGCCACAGCGACACCTACCTCGCTACAGCGGCCCCACCAGAGCGACCAAAAACACCGCCAAATCAGCTTGCACGAAACAGTGAGCTATTTCAATAATTCCAAGATCCCCATTTCACAACACACCTTTAACCAACGACGCTCAAAAAATACTATTCACGCTAAGATCAATTTCGGGAGTTCTACTCACCCGAATTCAATTTCGTAAAGTCGTACGGATTCCTTAACGACTTATCTAACTACTCATGAAATAAAAATCATAATTAAATCACCCAATTTTTACCAGATTTCCCTACACCTTAATGACTCCAATTTCGTCCAGATCTGGACTAGGTTGGGAAATTCCAAGTTACTACAAAAAAGTGTTTCGACCCAAAAGTTTTCCCCGTTAGCTTTTCTATAACGACGGAACCCGACTGTTACAATAGATACCAATTTACACATCACCCATCCCCGAGTGACAAACTTAGGAAAAATAGGCTAAAGAAGGGATGAAGTAGTACCTGGATCGACGAACAATTGGGGATACTTGTCTCGCATGCCCCTCTCGGTTTCCCAAGTAGATTCCTCAACTGGACGATGCTTCCATTGAACTTTCACGGACTTAATCTCCTTGTTCCTCAACTTACGCACATCATGATCAAGAATTGCAATCGGTTCCTCCTTGTAACACCCTGTATATCTAATGAACTAAGCTAGATCTCAACGTGTAGTCTAGTAGCCTAAAGCCTAAACATCAAAGTGTGGATCCCATAAGGACCTCCCAAGGCGCCTTGATGAGAGCCAAGAGCTGCTTATAAAGTTGTCAAAAATAGCTTGGTTCACGAGGGGAGCATCCACGCCACGTGGATTGAGTCATGCCCCGTAGATGGGAGTCGTGAGTCAGGACTTAACTCCCTCAAAGATCCCCCATAGAACCTAGTTACAGCCCCCACACCACGGTCCATGGACTTACTCACGCCCCGTGGATTGGTCTCGTGAGTTGAGACTTACTCTCCTCACCAAGGCCTCACTTGACCCCTCTCTGAATCAAAACACACCCATGCAGGATAGGCCGTGGACCCATCCAAAATAAGTGGATAGGGTCCATGGATCCCAACCAGCAAAAGCTGGTTTGGGGTTCGGCCATAGTGGGGGTACGTTCGTAAATTCCTCTTTTATTAATTAAAGGTAGAGGTAGTTATATTTATTTGTTTTAGGTATATTAGAGTATTTTTAAGTATTAAAACAAGTCTTTTAACACTCATAAGTCTCAACTCTCAAAAATCAAACCCATTTCCCTCCCAAAATATTTTCTCTCTAAACTCAATTGAAGAACAAAGAAGAAACTCAAGATTAGGGTTCAAGTTCCAAGATTTTAACTCAAATTTAGTAGGAAAACATCAACTAAGGTATGGGGATTTTGATTCATGGAACACTTTTCTCCATGATGCCCTTCAACTCTTGATTTCAAAATTGGTAACTTGTCCAAAAACTAGGGTTTCTATTCCAACCATGGGTTTTTCTTAAAAAATGATTCGATTATGTTAATTACATAATATTATGGATGATTTGATGTTTAATGGTGATTTTCATTGTAAATTTCCCAATGAACACCCCCCATGACCCCAATTTCAATTATTTTGATGGGTGTATTGATGCAATATTACTACCATGAATTGTATCCATGTTAATTTAGTTATTAAATATTGTTTTATTCCTGCCTACTGTAGTATTTTTAGGTGTAATTGTGAGACATGATCCATGACCCTTGAGTGGGGGTAAATTGCTAGGGTTTATGTAGGTTGATGAAGTTGTATATGAACTTGTGGTTCAGCTATATAATGATGATCTTATGGTTATAGTGTGTTGAATGAATTGATGCAAGACCCTCTTCCCATATACCCTGGCACTTACCCATAAATGAAAGGACTTTGATGTGATATCAATGTAGTGTTGATTGTTAAGAACACTCTCATGAACATGATGTGAAAGACTTACTCACTTACTAAGGATTCTAGGGAATCCATGAGCTACCATGAAACAATGATGTTTGAATGCTATGCATTCTTCCATGAACATGATTATAAAGTAAAGACTGAACATGATTATAAAAAGGGAATTAGGCTTAGCACCGAGTGGATAAGAACAAGATATGGAAACCTTTTACCTCAGTCAGTACGGGTTTCTAGAAGCAATCTCCCTCTCCCTTAACTATGTGCCCACATAGGTTTATTAGCTAGTGGATCCACCTATAATCTAACCATGTTAGTCCTAACTTAGGCAAGTAAAACACCTTTTTCGGTGTGGGGCAGTACACCGGATTCCATGTAGTTCGCATGGTCTATGTCGATTAAAGTTAAACTTCCCTACATGACAAGACTAAAAGCCATGGCATGCCATGAATCAAGAACACAAACATAAGGCATGTACTATGATTACTTGAGGGGTCTTACTTAGTGTGAGTGGGGGTATGGGACTTCACTCATACATTGCACAAGTGAGCTTGGAGAGTGATTGTGGTAAGTGCTTGCCAACATGATGCTTTATTAAGTTAATGTATACCATGCATGAACATGAACCATGAATATAAAAGTGAACATGAATATGAGCTATATCTATGACTTTTTAATAGGCTTTGCTTGGTATGAGTGGGAGTATGGGACTTCACTCATACATTGCATAGCTAGATCTATGAAGGGGTTACGCTTTGGGTTACCTATGACATGAATGTATGAAATTCCATGAGTGCATGTAATGAGTTGGTATTTGGAATGACTTGCTTTCTATGAATTTATAAACATGATGTCTCCTTGTCTATTATTGTTGGCTTGGATGGAATCAAGGTGAGTTATGCATGACTATGGTACTCTAAAGTGGTTTATTGTTTGGTTTGACTTGGTAATTACTTTAAAGGTGCATAATGTCTTTTAAACTTGATAAAGGCATGATTTCAACTAAATGTCCCTTTTTGCATGATTTAAGGTTTTTATGCATATTTCCGTACTTAGTACAATTAATTGTGCTAACCCCTTTCTCTACCTTTTTACTATGAGTGTAGGTTCTGGTCGTTGAGACTACTATTTCTTCAAGTGAAGCTTGGGTTAACTATTCCCTCGGCTTGGTGAGTCCTCATGTTCGAGGACAAGACGTCATTAATTCTAGTTTCTAGTTTACCTTTCATGTTCTAGACTATGTTGTATTTCATATATTTGGATACTTCATTGATGTAAGGTCTTTGACCCTAATTGTACTCTTATGTTTTAGATGGGGATTGAGACAAGTCTAGTTTCCTATTTTTCCTTATTAAAAAAAGTTGACTTCTATTGTAAAAGTTTTAAATTTTATGCATTATTCTATGTATTTATGTTATGATGATGCTAAGGGCTTGTACGAGACCCCTTCGGGGTTAAGTACGCCGTGTTACGACTAGGGGGTGCTCTCGGGTCGTGACAAACTTGGTATCAGAGCATAAGATTTTGGGATGATACTTAGGGTGATGTCTCATTAACCACGTGTAGTGGAGTCTTGTTCATGAGTGTGAAGCGCGCCACACTTATGGATGAGGGGCTATAAGATGTTTTAGGAACTCTCACTTCTTTGATTACTCTTTAGTCATGCTTTAGAGTTTTATATCCATTAAGGTCCTTTCCTAACCCTTTTCTTGTGCATATAGGAATATGAATACAAGAAGGATGGTTACAAGGAGAGTGAAAAGGGTTGTTGCTAATAAGGGAGTTCCTCCCCAAGACCCCCCCAGATCCTCAAGATGAAGGAACTATGACTTATGTGGAGATTAGATCGGCTCTCCAAACCTTGACCCGTGTTCTAACGACTCAAGTCACTAGGGATACAAGAGCACATGGAAACACCAATGATAACAATAGGGCCTCAAGGTTGAGAGACTTTACGAAGATGAACCCTCCAAAGTTCTTTGGCTCTAAACTGAGTGAAGATCCTCAAGAATTTGTTGAGGAGATAAAGAAGATAGTAGAGGCTATGGGGGTAACCTCTAGACAGAAGGCGGAGTTAACTGGGTATCAAATTAAGGGTGTGGCCCAAGTGTGGCACATACAATGGAAGGCAAAGAGGCCGAAAGGAGCGGGTCCCATTGATTGAGATGTATTCAAAAAGGCATTCCTTGATAAATACTTTCCCCGTGAAAAGACGGAGGCTGAGGTGGAGGAATTCATCAACGTTCGTTAAGGAAGTATGGGTGTTGAAGAATACTCTCTTAAGTTTACTGAGTTGTCCAAGTATGCTCCATCTATGGTGGCGGAGCCAAGAGATGAATTAAGTAGGTATGTAACGGGTTTGTCTAGCTTGGTGAGAAAAGAATGTTTTTCGGCTATGTTTCATGACAACATGGATATATCTCGTCTTATGGTGTATGCTAAGCAAATAGAGGATGAAAAATGGAAAGAATAGGTATGTGAAGAGGCCTAGGACCGATGTTAGAAATTCCTCCATGGGTAAGTTTGAGGTTCAACACAAACTAAGGTTCAAAAAGAGGTTTTCCAACCGAGGTTCCTCCAATTCTCCAAGGCCCAATAAAGATAGGGTGTCTAACCTTAAGCCTCAAGGAGGCAATGGTGTTGGATATTCCATGACAAGGCCTACATGTGCTAAGTGTGGCAAGAGACATGAGGGCAAATGTCTTAGTGGAACGAATGCTTGTTTCATTGTGGAAAGAGTGGTCAAATGGTTAAAGATTTTCCTATGTTAAATGTTCAATGGAGAGAGGGCAAGCAATTCCCTCCAAGTGGCTCAAATCACGATGCTCCCAAGAAGAATCGCTTCTACGCCCTCCAATCCCAAAGTGATCAACAGGGATCTCCAGACATTGTTACCGGTATGTTGCAAGTATTTTCAATTAATGTTTATGCATTGTTAGACCCCGGGGCCACATTGTCCTTTGTTACTCCTTTAGTGGCTACAAAATTTGATATACTTCCCGTGTCTTGGAAGAACCCTTTTTGGTGTCTACCCCGGTGGGTGATTCGGTTATAGCTAAAAGAGTGTATAGGAGATGTCTTATCTCTTTATCTCATAGAGTCACTTTGGTAGATTTAGTTGAATTAGATATGTTAGACTTTGATGTCATTTTGGGGATGGATTGGCTTCATGCTTATTTTGCTTCCATTGATTGTAGTACTCAGGTAGTAAAGTTTCAGTTTCCAAATGTGCCCATTTTAGAATGGAAGGGGGGAAATTCAATCCCTAGAGGTCAATTCATTTCATGTCTAAAGGCTTGTAAAATGATTTCTAAGGGTTGAATCTATCATATTGTAAGAGTTAATGACATTGAGTCCTAGACTCCTCCTTTAGAGTCGGTCCTCGTAGTGAGGGAGTTTCCTGAAGTCTTTCCTTATGACTTACCCGGGATTCCTCCCGAATGGGAAATAGACTTCGGCGTTGATCTTTTGCCGGATACTCAACCCATATCAATTCCCTCTTACCAGATGGCTCCGGCTGAATTAAAAGAGTTGAAGGCACAACTCAAAGACTTGCTAGACAAGGGTTTTATACAACCAAGCATATCTCCATGGGGTGCCCCGATTTTGTTTGTGAAGAAGAAAGATGGGTCCCTTAGGATGTGTATTGATTACCGCCAATTGAACAAGGTCACTATAAAGAACAAGTACCCTCTCCCTAGAATTGATGATTTGTTTGACCAACTCCAAGGGACGAGTTACTTTTCGAAGATTAACCTAAGGTCGGGCTACCACCAACTTAAGGTGAGGGAGGTTGACATTCCTAAGACGGCCTTCCGAACAAGATATGGTCACTCTAAATTCCTAGTCATGTCCTTTGGTCTAACAAATACCCCGACGACATTCATGGACCTTATGAACATGGTGTTTAGACAATATCTTGATTCATTTATGATCGTTTTTATTGACGATATCTTGATCTACTCTAAGAGTGAGGGTGATCACATGAAACATTTGAGGATGGTTTTACAAGTCCTTAAGGACCAACAATTGTATTCTAAGTTTAGCAAGTGCGAATTTTGGCTAAGGTCGGTTGCTTTCCTAGGTCATATTATGTCAAGCATGGGTATAGAAGTTGATCCTAAGAAAATGGATACGGTTAAGAGTTGGCCTAGACCCCTAAGTCCCACTGACATCCGAAGCTTTTTCGTTTTGGCCGGTTACTATCGGAGGTTTGTTGAGGGTTTCTCCTCTACCGCTTTTCCATTAATGCCTTAACCCAAAAGAAGTCCAAATTTGAGTGGACGGAGGCTTGTGAGAAAAGCTTCCAAGACTTGAAGGATAGGCTCACATCCGCTCCACTGTTGACCTTATCGATGGGTTTGTAGTTTATTATGACGAGTCTCGAGTGGGTTTGGGATGTGCTCTCATGCAACATGGTAAGGTGATTGCCTATGCTTCAAGGCAACCCAAGATTTATGAAAAGAATTATCCAACTGATGATCTCGAACTAGCGGCGGTGGTGTTTTCTTTGAAAATATGGACACTGTCTCTATGGGGTACATGTAGATGTGTTTACCGACCACAAGAGTCTTCAAGATGTGTTTACCCAGTTAGGTTGTGTATTCCGGATGTAGATAGCTTGAGAGAGCAAATTTTAGAAGAGGCTCATGGTTCGCGGTATTCTATTCATCAAGGAACCACCAAGATGTACCGTGCCTATGTGAAGTCTATTGGTGGAATGGTATGAAGAAGGATATAGTGGGTTCCGTAGCCAAATGTCCAAATTATCAACAAGTCAAGGCCGAGATATGAATATTCCCACTTGGAAGTGAGAGGAGGTGAATATGAATTTTGTTGTGGGGTTGCCCCGCACTCGAAGGCAACACGATTCTATTTGGGTCATTATTGATAGGATGACGAAATCAGCCCACTTCATTCCCGTCAAGGTTACTTTTTTGGTGGAAGACTATTCTAAGTTGTACATCAAGGAGGTAGTGAAGTTGTATGGAGTTCCTTTGTCTATCATATCAGATAGAAGTACTTAATTTACTTCCCATTTTTGGAATGCTTTCCAACAAGGACTTTTGTACCATTGTTAAACTTCAAACCACTTTCCACCCTCAAACGGATGGTCAAGCCAAATGCACAATTCAAACCTTAGAAAACATGTTGAGGGCGTGTGTGATTGATTACAAGGGTAATTGGGATGATCCTCTTCCTTTGATAGAATTTGCCTATAATAATAGTTATCACTCTAGCATTGCCATGGCTCCGTTTGAAGCACTATATGGTAGGAGGTGTAGATCTCCGATTGGGTAGTTTGAGGTTGGTGAGTTTGCTCTAATTGGTCCCGAACTAGTCTATGATGCTATTGAGAAAGTTCAACTCATTAAATAGAGGTTGAAGATGGCCCAAAGTCGGCAAAAGTCGTGTGACGACAATAGAAAAAGGGATCTTGAATTTTATATTGGTGATTGGATCTACTTGAAAATCTCACCTGTGAAAGGTGTGATGAGGTTTGGCAAAAAGGGGAAACATAGTCCCTGGTATGTGGGGCCGTACCAAATCTTGAAACGTGTTGGAAAGGTGGCATATGAGTTACATTTGCCAAGTGAGTTGGCTCTGGTTCACCCGGTGTTTCATGTCTCCATGCTTAAGAGGTGCATTGGTGATCCGGTGTCCATCCTCCCTTTAGAGGCTTTAGGAGTTGATGAGAATCTTTCTTATGAAGAGGTCCCGGATGAGATTTTGGATCGGTAAGTGAAGAAATTAAAAAACAAAGAAGTAGCCTCCTCCATTAAGGTTCTGTGGAGGAATTACTTAGTTGAGGGTGCTACATGGGAGGCCGAGGCCGATATGATGTCCCATTACCCTCATCTTTTTCCTTCTACTCCTATCAAGTATGCGGTAACTAGTTCTTCTTAAGCTTAGTATTTTGGGAGTCATGTGTATTGTTTGGTTTTCCATGATTTCCCTATATTGTGCATGTTCTTGTGAGAATTCATGTTTTAGTGCTTATTGAGGTTTCATGATGTCTATGTTTTCTCATGTTGATGTGCATTTTTATAATGATAATTGCATTTTTTACTCCATGAGGAGAAATAATGAACATGCTCAGTTTTGTTTGATGAAATGCCATATTGGCTTAATATTGTTATGTTGAGCTTGTTTGATGAGGAAAAGGTAGTTCCTCCCATGCTTATGTAAATTGATGAGTAGTATGCCTATTGGGTTGGTAGAAGAAATTCTTACTTTCTTGCATTGCATTGACCATGTTGTGAAATGGAGTTGAAGTTTCCTCCTTTTGAGTATTGCATATGGTGAATAGTGCAGTGTGAGTTGTGCTCATTTTTTATGTTCATGCATGATGGGCTGCTAGTCTAGAGTTTCTAACTTATTTTGGTGTCTTGGTCATCATTCGGGGACGAATGTTCCCAAGGGGGAGATAATGTGACACCCCATATTTCTAATGACCTAAGCTAGATTCCAACGTGTAGTCTAGTAGCCTAATGAGGTATAAACGTAAGGTTAGAGTCTTAAAATATATTCCCTAACTTGGTACTAAGGTCCTAATGCCTAAACATCAAAGTGTGGCTCCCACAAGGACCCCCCAAAGGCCCTTGATAAAAGCCAAGAGGCTGCCTATAAATCTGTCAAAAGCAGCTTGGTTCATGAGGGGAGCATCCACGCCACGTGGACTGACTCACTCCCTGAAGATGGGAATCGTGAGTTAGGACTTAACTCCCTCAAAGGTCCCCCAAACCACCTAGTTACAGGCCCATTCCACGAGGGTGCAGTATGGTCCGTGGACCTACTCACGCCCGTGGATTGGTCTCGTGAGTTGAAACTTACTCTCCTCACCAAGGCCTCACTTGACCCCTCTCTAAACCAAACCACGCATACGCAGGACGGGTCGTGGACCCATCCACGATGCGTGGATAGGGTCCGTCGATCCCAACCTGCAAAAGCTGGTTTGGGGTTCGGCCATAGTGGGGGTAAGTTCGTAAATTCCTCTTTTATTAATTAAAGGTAGGGGTGTTATATTTAGTTGTTTTAGGTATATTAAAGTATCTTTAAGTATTAAAACAAGTCCTTTAACTCTCATAACTCTCAACTCTCAAAAATCAAACTCACTTCCTTCCCAAAATATTCTCTTTCTAAACTCCATTGAAGAACAAAGAAGAAGCTCAAGATTAGGGTTCAAGCTCCAAGATTTTCACTCAAATTTCGTGGGAAACATCAATTAAGGTATGGGGACTTTGATTCATGGAATACTTTTCTTCATGAAGCCCTTCAACTCTTGATTTCGTAATTGGTAACTTCTTTAAAAACTAGGGTTTCTATTCCAACCATGGGTTCTTCCTAAAAAAAGATTATATTCTGTTAATTGAATTATATTATGGATGATTTTATGTTTAATGGTGATTTTCATTGTAAATTTCCCCATGAACCCATGAACACCCCATCACCCTAATTTCAAGTATTGAGATGGGTGTATTAATGCAAGATGACTACCATTAATTTTATCCATGTTAATTTAGTTATTGAATCTTGTTTTATACATGCCTATTGTAGTATATTTAGGTGTAATTGTGAGACATGATCTATGACCCTTGAGTGGGATAAATTGCTAGGGTTTGTGTAGGTTGATGAAGTTGTATATGAACTTATGGTTCAACTATATAATGATGATCTTATGGTTATAGTGTGTTGAATGAATTGATTCAACACCCTCTTCCCATATACCCTTGCACTTACCCATAAATGAAAGGACTTTGATGTGATATCAATGTAGTGTTGATTGTTAAGAACACTTTCATGAACATGATGTGAAAGACTTACTCACTTACTAAGGATTCTATGGAATCCATGGGCTACCGTGAAACAATGATGTTTGAATGCTATGCATTCTTCCATGAACATGATTATAAAGTAAAGACTTAACATGATCATAAAAAGGGAATTAGGCTTAGCACCGAGTGAATAGGAACAAGAGATGAAAACCTTTTACCTCAGTCAGTCCGGGTTTCTAGAGGCAATCTCCCTCTCCCATAACTATGTGCCCACATAGGTCTATTAGCTAGTGGATCCGCCTATAAGCTAACCATGTTAGTCCTACCTTAGGCAAGTAGGACACCTCTTTTCGGTGTGGGGCAGTACACCGAATTCCATGTAGCTCGCATTGTCTATGTCAGTTAAAGCTAAATTTCCCTACATGACAAGACTAAAATCCATGACATGACATTAATCAAGAACACAAACATAAGGCATGTACTATGATTACTTGAGGGGTCTTACTTAGTGTGAGTGGGGGTATGGGACTTCACTCATACACTGCACAAGTGAGCTTGGAGAGTGATTGTTGTATGTGCTTGCCGACATGATACTTTATTAAGTTAATGTATACCATGCATGAACATGAACCATGAATATAAATGTTAACATGAACATGAGCTATATCTATGACTTCTTAATAGGCTTTGCTCGGTATGAGTGGGGGTATGGGACTTCACTTAAACATTGCACAAGTAGACCTATAAATGTGTGGGTTAGCTATGACATGAATGTATGTAATTCCATGTGTGCATGTAATGAGTTGGTATTTGGAATGACTTAGTTTCTATGAACTTATAAACATGATGTCTCCTTGTCTATGATTGTTGGCTTGGATGGAATCAAGGTGAGTTATGCCTGACTATGGTAGTCTAAAGTGGTTTATTGTATGGTTTCACTTGGTAATTACTTTAAAGGTGCATAATGGCTTTTAACCTTGCTAAAGGCACAATTTCAATTAAATGTACCTTTTTGCATGATTTAAGGTTTTTATGCATGTTTCCATACTTAGTACAATAAATTGTGCTAACCCCTTTCTCTAACCTTTTACTATGAGTGAAGGTTCTGATCGTTGAGACTACTATTTCTTCAAGTGAAACTTGGGTCGACTATTCCCTAGGTTTGGTGAGTCCTCAAGTTCGAGGACAAGACGTCATTGATTCTAGTTTCTAGTTTACCTTTCATGTTCTAGACTATGTTGTATGTCTTATATTTGGAGACTTCATTGATGTAAGGACTTCGACCCTAATTGTACTCTTATATTTTAGATGGGGATTGAGACAAGTCTAGTTTCCTATTTTTCCTTATTGAAAGAAGTTGACTTCTATTGTAAAAGTTTTAGATTTTCCGCACTATGTATTTATGTTATGATGATTCTAAGGGCTTGTACGAAACTCTTTCGGCGTCAAGTATGTCGTGTTACGACTAAGGGGTGCTCTCGGGTCGTGACACTCCTCATATTTGAGGTCTTTGCCTAACACAATTGAGTCCCACTTAATGATATAATCCCTGTCACCATGATACCTCTTTAACATGGACACATGAAATACCGGATGAACTCCTGATAAATTAGGAGGGAAAGCCAATCTATACGTTATCGTTCCTATACATTCAAGCACCTCAAATGGACCAATGTATCGCGGACTTAGCTTACCTTTCTTGCCAAATTTTATCACCCCTTTCATTGGTGATATCTTAAGAAGAACATTGTCACCATTTTGAAACGCCATGTCTCTTAACTTATGATCCGCATACTTCTTTTGTCTACTCTGGGCAGCTAGAAGCTTAGCTTTAATACTCCTCACCTTATCTTGAGCATCCTTCACTAAATCTACCCCCAATGGTTTCACATCTCCAGCCTCGAACCATCCTATGGGTGATCTACATCCCCTCCCATAGAATGCCTCAAATGGTGCCATATATATGCTGGAGTGATAACTATTATTATAAGAGAACTCACACAAATGTAAGAACTTATCCCAATGTCCTCCAAAATCAATCACATGCCCTCAACATGTCCTCTAACACTTGGATAGTCCTCTCCGATTGACCATCAATCTACAAATGAAAAGCGGTACTAATAGTGAGTTGTGTGCCCAATACATCATGTAATTTCCTCCAAAACTTGGAGGTAAACTTAGTACCACGATCTGAGATAATAGAAAGGAGTACCCCATGCAACCTCACTATATCTTTCACATACACCTTAGCCAATTGTTCAGCATTATAATCTATTCTTCTCGGAATAAAGTGGGCTTACTTAGTCAATCTATCAACCACTACCCAAATAGAATCAAACTTCCCCAAAGTCTTGGGAAGTCCAACCACAAAATCCATGGCTATCCTCTCCCACTTCCATTTCGGAATTGGCATTCTTTGAAGCCAACCCGCAGGCCTTTGATGTTCATACTTCACTTGTTGACAATTTTGACACTTAGCCACAAACTCCGCTATATCCTTCTTCATGCTCAGCCACCAATAAATTCGCTTCAAATCTCCATACATCTTTGTCACACCCGGATGAATAGAATATTGCGAACCATGGGACTCAATCAACCACTTTTGAATCAAGTCATCAACTCGAGGAACACAAATCCTCCCTTTAAAACTAAGCACACCTTCCGCATCAAGAGTGGTCTCTCATGCCTTACCAATCACAGTCTTCTTCTTAAGTTCATTCAAATTTTCATCCTCAAATTTCTTGGCCTTGATCTCTTCAATGAATGCGGCCCTCACTTCAATGCTAGCTAACACCCCACCTCTCTCTGAGATGCCCAATTGCATGAATTTAGACTCCAAGGTCTGAATTTCTTTAGCCAAAGGTCGCTTGGTTACACTTGAGCAAGCTAAACTACCCATACTCCCCGCTTTTCGACTCAAAGCGTCTTCCACTACATTAGCCTTACCCGGATGGTATTGAATGGTGA